CGGGCACTCTGCATTATGTCATGTCCTAACTACAATTGATACTTAATGTTCTATTTACATAAAAAAGCTTACGGAAGTATTTATCATAAAACTGCGTCATAGTAATCTGCGCACCTGATGTTAAAGATTCCAATGTAAAATTAAAAAAACGTCATTAATGTCCTTACTATAGAGTTGATTATTAATTGATACTTAATTAGAATGTTAATTGGTGTTCTGGTCCATTTGAATGGAAAAATTGTTATAAAGACCTGAGTGCCTAGTTGATAGAGTGACCATAAGGGGTCTCGAGTTTGATTTCCAGTTTGATAACAGCCTTTTATATTGGGAATTCTTAGTAATCACGCCCGTGACTGATTGGTTATCCCCTAATGGCACAGAGGGCTCCATAAAACCACTGTGAATGTTACATTTTATAAGTACTGTTCTGCTTACCCCTTAACGTGTTTTATTTGTATTATATCATAAGAGCGTAGTTAATAGTTAGACACGCATTTAACCTTGAACTTCAAACAACTTTGCCAAATGCAGTGAAAGGATTGGACGGCGTCATGCACCAATGGCCAATTTAATTTATTTATTTATTCAATTACATTGGCTTGTTTTACTTTATACAAGTTATGTTTCTGCCAGCGACAGAGGGTGCAAATGGAAACTATGATCATTTTACTAAATTTATTATAATAAAAATTACATGTTAATTCCTAAAATCTAACTAACCTAAGTGCGAATGTGTTCGAAGTTGGAACAACACTGACTTCATCTCTTAAAATTATTTGGAAAGAAGGTTTTCAATAAAACCTATTGAGGTTAAATTTAGTGGGGTGATTGATGATGCAGCGATTCGCAGCTGGGCACGAGGCGGTGACATGAGGAGTTGACTCAGCAGTTTGGGTGTTGCAATACTTCGTTGCATCAAAGTAGGTCTAATGTCCTGATTCAGCAGATATGCTCCTCGTGGCACGGCGTTGATCACGATGTAGGTACATGTGTCGGCACCGATACGTAACATACATAAAAACAAATTCACTTTAAAAATATTTACAGATTTTTTTTCTTTTTTTTTTGTCAGCTAATCAACAGTCGTAGTATGCTAAGCTATGTTTTGTTTTATAAAAGGATTTCTTTTTTTTAATTTGTTAAAAATTTTATTTCAAGATTTTTAGTTATTTATATTTTAAGTTCTATATATTTATTTAATTGAAATACTTTGAAATTTAATATTAATCCTATGTTTTCAAGTAGTAATTTATTGTCTATGACGATTTGAATCATTTTCTAACTATAGGCAAAATTATGAGTATAATGTAGTCATAACATCAAACATATTAGTTCTTCGCTTTTTAGGCTAAGGGCACATAGCTGCAATTACTTAAACAAGGCTAAGGCGATTCGTATATACTTAATAAAGTACTGAAAACGTTGTAATTATTTCTTATAGATAGCTTTAATTAAAAAATAAAGATTAATTAAGGTACATCATTAGTACAGCGAATCACTACTTTCAGCCTAGACCTGCTGTCAAGTCATTATTGTAATTAGGTTGAGATTTAATTAAAAGTATTAAATGTTAGAGATCGATTATGTACATTCCTTTTGCCCTTTTTATGGATTAGCTTGAGATCAGTATCTGGTTGTATAAAAAATAAATTTTGTTATTACTATATTCTACTTTCTTTAATCAAAAATAAATTGTTTCGACTGTTCAATAAAATAGAATATTAAAAAATTATCACAGTCTCATTAATTGATTTTATAACCAACTTCATTTTAGTACCATTCCAGCATATTTTTAAGAAATAAGTATGCTGTTTGACGCTAAAAAAAGTGACGTCACAATACACAATCTCGTACAAAATTCATAAAAAACTGTCGTTTTTGACAGTTCGAAAAAAGTATTGAATTTGACTAGTTGGCAAGTACCCAATTGTTAACAAAATTATAGCCGTTAACTCAAACCGAATACCTACAATTTTGTTAATACCTATACAAAACCATAACAATTGTCAATTATAGAGTTTGAGTTTGACAGGGAATGATCGCGTATGTATGTTGATAGTATTCTGACCAATTTTGATGAGTACTATAAGATATTAATTTACTCATATTATGGTGTCGTTTTATTAGTTATCTAGTTCACTGCAGCAGTTATCATAATACCAAGATATCCTCATAGAAACAACACAGGTAACGACAGACAGAATTTATTAAAATAATTGATTGTTATATGTGGCATGTTGTACTTCTCGTTTTAGCATAGAGTAATAAATCGAATGCGCAGCCAACTAGATTATTAATAATGCATATATTTTGTTATTATAATTATACACATCACGTCGGAAAATAATGCACACGTAACTGTTTATTAATCTCAATACAATTTGTCGGAAATATACCAAAGCTCAATTTAAACATTTCATTCGGAAGTCTACATAATTATATTGAGAATATTTATTTGATGGATACTTAACGTTTTTATTATTAACACTTAATATTTTTACATAAAAATTTTAACTCATAGGTATTTTTTTAAGAGGGGAATATCATCGAATGACTTCTACCGCCTGGGTGAGGCGGAAGGGAGTGTCAGACTCTTATTGACTAAAAACCACCCCGTTCCTACTCCTAAACTTCGAGCCGGAGTCCCGGCAACCCGTTAAGTACTCCGTGGCTCCGTATAGGCATCAGTCCTATTAGGCCCCATCCGTGGTGGTCTGGTGGCTCTTTGAGGCGCGCGCATCTCATAGGTATAAAATGATATTATTAGGTAGTAAAATTGGATTATTAGGTAGTAAAAATGGATCCGTACAGTTCGGTTTCAGAGGAATTTCCTCCCACGGACCCCCCGAACTCCCTGCCAGGGTTTTCCCGGTAGGCTACAATATGGGGTTCTTCAAGGAAGGTGTAAATAGGTTTATTAAGGGTCGACAAGGTGCATTTAATGCCACTTACCGCCAGGTGGGCCGTGAACATTTTTGGCTACCGTCGTGGTATAAAAAAATATTAATTTACTACTAATTAAACTGTCAAACACCAAGCGGTCACCGGTGTCCTCGCAGTGTTAGACAGTTTAAGAACCTAATTATGTAAATGAAATATTTAAGTTTGGATAGTTACCTACTGGTATGAGTCCTAAGCAAATATAATGAATACAGTAATTACTTGATTAAATTACACAAGGAAGCTAACATTTTAAATCAAATGTAATTTAAATTGATTGATTTTAATGCGAATTCCTGCTTGACTCTTGAATGATACCATCCATTCTAATCATATTGTTACGGATATTGACCCGCAACTGGTTCAGCGAGTTGGCGTTAAGCAGGCCTTTCACTGTTGTGGTCATTTTTGTACCAAAACAATGATATCTTGCGTCCTTGGCGCTTTTTATTTCTTTCGTGTGTTATAGATTATACAGCTGTAAGCTAAAGCTATATATCGCGGAGAACCTAACGGGTAACCGGGGCTCCGACTTGACGTGCAGGAGAAGTAACGGGGTGGTTTTTAGTCAGTAAGAGTATTACACTCCCTCCCGCCTCGCCCAGGCGGGAGAAGCCATTCGATGATTTTTCCCCCTTAAAAAAAAGCTATATCTATATATGTATCCATGCAATAGTGTACTTTAAGTTTACGTTACCTATTTCTTATATCGATTAGCAATTAAAATAAATAAACTGCTAATCGTTTTCCTAAGTTTCCATGTATACCATGAATCTACGTTTTCAAGCTGGAAAATTTTAATTAAAAAATCATTAGGCACATTTTCCACATCGCCTTATTTGTATAGGTCAAGCAAGTGCATAATAAAATTGAGCATAATATTATACAACACTCATAACAAAAAAATGGTGAGAAAACCAATTAAACGGCCATAATTTACACTTAACGATCACTTAATACAAGCATTGTTAAACATAAAGTAAAAATGTCCGAGTCAGGCTCGCTCGCGAAGGGTTCTGCACTATTCGCTCATTTATTCATTCGAGCAATAAACAGCTTCAAAATCAACTTTATTATTTATATTGAAATATATTGAAACCAATCTTAAAGTACTTAGTATTTGTTATTTTAGCGATTATAGAAATACATCATTTTTCTAAATTTCAACTGAGGTCATTACGGTTTATGCGATAATTGTAGTGTTGGATAGTTGGAAAATTCAAAATTAGGTTTTTAACCACTATCTCGCCTGGTGGTAAGTGATGATTTCGACGTTTCGTTATCTTGTCAAATAATTATTGATATAATTTCATAAAAAATAATAATAATATACAGTCTAGTGATCGACAAACAGACAAACGAACGGATAGCGGAGTCTTTGTAATAGGGTTTTCGTTTCTAAACTTTAGGCACGCAACCTTAAAACTACTATTAATAAAGGTCCGCGGTTTATAATAACTTTATCTCATTATCCGTCCGTATATCCCAATGTCTTTCCTAATCCTAGATATTATTAGCATACAATAACAATGCAATTGTGATAATTAGATATCATTTAGCGCTAGAAGTTTGGATAAATGCACGTAAAGTTTCAGTTTTAGCTCAATGTAACTTTTAAAGGAACTATACAAGTTATATTGAGTTATAACTGTTCTTCATGATAAGAGCTAATCTTAAATCAATTGCAGATTATTAAGTCCATATATTTTTTTTAACGTGAAAAGGCAAAATATAAATCTTTATCACTCTTATCTACTTCTAAAAATCTGTACGTATTATCACGTATGCGCAAACGCAGATAAAACACGCATGGTTTAAGAAAGTCACGCACTCGGTTATCTATAAATTTTCCAATGAGCGCTTCTATATGAATGAGAAATATTATCCAATTAAATTTTCTTAGAATAACAGAGGTTTTTTTGATGCTCACAATTAGTTATTAAGAATAATTTGATTAAAGACAATAATAGTCTTCCAATTACTTAATTTACAACTATGATGTAACAAATAAAAAACCTTTAACTATTAAGTAAAACAAAAAACAATAGAGAATAACTCACCAAAGACTGCAAAACACTTCGTAATAATCACCTCAAATTTTTCAATTTGCAACACTACGAGATCCCGCCAATCAATAAAAAAAGACGCGCGGAATTCGAAATATTGTCAAACACGTTCGCTTCGATTTACGAATTTCGAACTCAACGTTTTATTTTTTTAATTTATTTTTAATTATTTAAGATGTTCCTATACAACCTCTATGTGAACCAAATAGGTTGTAGCGGTAACATTGGCGCGTGCGCCGTGGTATGGTGCGCGTCGACTACTAACTAGCCTGGTTTCCTTACCAACCTTGAAAGCTACTGAAAGCCCCGCCCGCCTTTGCATTCTTGGTAACAATTATATTAGATCAGTGTTTTAGTAATATGGTCCTTCGTGTCGCTTTGTTGTCAAGCTAGATGAAAAAATAGGGTCGTCAATGAGATGCAGTAGTCAGCCATTGAGAATCGATGGCATACTTGTAACAAGGTTGTGAAAAAGGAAAAATGTTGGGGTTTCGTAGAAGTATGCTAAATGATTTTAATGAACCGGCAAAGGTCATTGGCTGATAGGTAATATGTAAGACTATGCACTAGACAATAGGGTGTTGTTAATTGGTGCTAAGTTGCAGCTACCGGAAACCTGCGTGTAGTAGTGAATTAATTAATGTAGAAACTAGACAAAGGAAGGCGATATAGGTAGTGTAGATTTTGTGCGCCTATTGCAGATATTAAACGGCTGGCGTTGAAAACTTCCTGTTTATTGATAACGCATAACGATGCATGTAATGCCTGTATTTATGAGGAATTGCATAATTGGTCAAAGGCCATTTTAGGCTGCATGTCTTGTGATTGCATTGAACAAAGAGTGTCAAGTTGTCGTTACGAACCTGGCAGTTGTCTGCAACTTGTTTTTTCTGGGTCCGTTTTAATTCTGTAACAAAGAATGAATATTTTTTGTGGCATAAGCCGGTAAACTAGCAGACGGATCACCTGATGGTAAGCAATCGGCATCGCCCATGGACACCTGGAACACCAGAGGCGTTACAAGTGCGTTACCGGCCTTTTGGGGATTAGGAGTTTGAGGATCGTTGGGGATTCAGGAATTGGTGAGATTGGGAAAGGGGAGGGTAATTGGGCGTCCGGTAACCTCACTCACACGACGAAACACAACGCAAGCGTTGCTTCACGTCGGTTTTCTGCGAAGCCGTGGTATCGCTCCGGTCGAGCCGGCCCATTCGTGCCGAAGCATGGCTCTCTCACACATATTTTTGGTAATTTGCCAAAGTTAAGACCATTTTGGAGCTACATTTGTATCCTAAATGTACTAAAAATCTTTTAAAAGTGTCCTTGTAAAGTTCTATCATTTTTTCTATACCTAATGCTCATCGAAGATCTTACTTAGCAATAAATGTTTGGATTTGATAGATAAAAATGACGAAACAATTTTTTTAAACATGTGTCTAACTTTGTTTCTAATTTTGACAATTACAAGGTTCATTATGTTATCAAATCTATCCACGATTGAAGTACAAGGCTTAGTCTTAATTACAGCAGTGATATAACGATGAAATAATTTAAAGATTCATAGATATCGATCGATTGTCTAGTGTTACTTTCTTTGACCTATTTACCTAGTTTCCATATCTTGGAAGCCTTGGTTGGTAATTTTCAATTGATGGCTTTAATTCCAAATTATATAAGGTTCGTTAGGGAAGTTGCCGATGGAGTTTTCCGTAATTCTCATTTTGGCTTTGGCAAGATAGTAAAATATCTGTATATTTCTTTGTTTTCGTGTGCGTATGTTACATTCTTTACGTAAAATATGCCTTAACACTTAACTCGTTGAGTACCGTCATTATAGACACAATTAAACTGTCAAACACCAAGCGGTCACCGGTGACCGCAACCTATTGTTCTATAATTGTGTCTACAAAACCGGTACTCGACGAGTTAAAGAACAATAGGTTACGGTCACCGGTGTCCTCGCGGTTTTTGATAGTTTAATATGACTGGCTCAGTAGGTACTTTTCGGATTACGTTTCGGTTTAAAGTGTCTAAGAATTCCCTGCAATTACTTATCTTTTCTTTTTTTTTAAAGTAAGCTTACCTACTGCAAAATGTCTCAATTCAGCAACCTAATTGAATATCTTTAGAGTGAATCGTGTTACCCACGTACCAACAACTATAACAGAATGTGACAGCATTCAGCGATCATAACAATACATTTACTAGGAAGAGATAGGTAGTTCGAAACTCGTAGAGAGGTAAGTATGGTTCCACGTCTCATACAATAATGTTACAAAGACTATATTACTTTTTCTACACACTATTTTATTGCCACATCATAAAAAAGCGACGCAAAAAGTAATATTTTATGACACAACATAGAACACACTTTTTCAAATGTGGAAAAAAAGTAATTTTTTGTTTTCTTTTTTTCAGAGCATATTGCACAATAAATGCATTTAAATTACTCCGTTTGACTCACCGTTTAGGCGATATAATGGGTTTTTTGAAGTAGGAAGTGAACATTTTGTAATAATATGGAATTATGGACATCAGTGGCAACACTGGTTGACCTTGTTTTTTGAAGTGGTACTTTCCTAGTGTTAGCATTATCTAAAAAAATATACAGTGCAGGACATCATTCACCAACAACAATGATACACCACCTGATAGAGGTATTAAGAAGCCGTTGGATGCAGGTCGTTGCTAACCGGCTGATTTGGAAGTTATAGGAATAGGAAGCCCTTTAGGATGTTCAGCAGTCTTGTGGTGGGTGTATAATGATGATTATGATGATGAGTACCCTTACCATTCATTCATTTTAAAAAATCCAACTAATGGTTGTCTGGAAGGAATCGCCGCGTGAGATAAGACCGCCCATTATACTCGAATTACTGTTACATTGTAAACTTAAAATTTTCTGTATGTGTGCAATAAAGTTTAAAATAAATAAATGAGTAATAAATTGTCACTTTTGGTAGAACTGACTAAAAAGCCTTTAAACCTTCAAGAAAAGAGCGTATTTCTTTTTAAAAGGCCGGCAACGCACCTGTAACTCCTGTGGTGTTGCGGGTGTCCATGGGCGGCGCTGATCGCTTACCATCAGGTGATCCGTCTGCTCGTTTGCCTCTTATTCCGTAAAAAAGAAGCTATATACTTTAAGTAAGTAATCAGTGTAATCTATCTAACAAAGATAATGCCATAGCAAAACTAGGTAAGTATGTATAATCCAGATGTCACATTAAGTCTAAAAATCCAATAATTGTAACACTGTAATAATTTTAATAAATACCAGTTAGATTGATGCATATCTTAGTAAAGAGTATAATTAAACGGACTGCATTTATTTATGTCATGTACTTATTCATTCTATTTTGTTGTATACAAATAGGTATATAATAAATTAATAAGAGGCTGTCTGTCTGTTACATGTGAAAAAATTAACAAAAAGGCCAAAGAGCATTGGCTCTCACTCCCTCTCTTCCGATTTCAGAAGAACTTTTGAAGTGGGAAAAGAATGAGTGAGAGCGTTTCAGGAACTTTAAAAGTGAATATACTGAGAAAAGCTCTACTAGTTTCGCATACTATGAGCAGCATGCGCGGTTGCGGCGACGTCGCGCAGCTCACTGCTCATGAGGAAGAACCCCTCTGGTTCGAAACTAGTAGAGCTTTTCTCAGTATATTCACGTGAGTACCCGCGATTTTAGTTAATTTAGTATGTTTCACGATAGTTATTATAAAAAATATAAAAGTGGTACGAAAATATGTGTAAAACATGTAGGTTTAAGGGTTTTTATTATCGTGCTGAATTCATCAAGCATGACCCGTATGCGGGGCTATCACAGCACAGATCAAACCCCGCGTCTCGCGTGCGTATTCCATGCGTTGCAATAAACACTGGTTTTAAAAAGACACTGAGTATGTTTCGGCATTTCTTCTCAGAGTAGTCAGTTAAGAAATATCATGCCTCATCGTTGGCTTGAAAAATTGACGTGTAAAAGTGCTGCCATGGTAGCCTATATGCAGAAATAAATTCACTTGTATCACTTGCGGGGAGTTACGCATGCGAGGTAATCTCTCGTCAGTTATGATATCCGCATGATTTTAAACACATTTTAAGTATATGTTATAAATAGACTAATCTCTATGAGGAATAACAAGTACAGTCAATGCTTTTCAAGTGAATGAACTTTCTGACATTTTATAATGTAGGTCGAAACTGCACGAAACTCGGCAAATGATTGCCTGATCACTAATTTATTATTAATTTCTCATTGTACAGCGGATGTCGCGGCCCTTTGTAGTTAAGTGTACATAAAATAGTTATAAAGCACCTGACAACTAGAATTTTAATGAAGTTCTACAATGATCGTATGATGCATGATTTTTATACACATACATGTAAATCATTATGTAATATTGTCGTGATATCATCAATGGTTAATTACATTTTTTACGCAAGTTATCCCGGGAAATACTACCTACGTTAACACAAATTAATTAATTATCATGTCATGTCAAATAAATATAATCTATGACCAAGAAGCTAGCTACATACATGACTGATTTGAACATAACTACTTACTTTATTTAATAACTCATTTGAAATCAATCATACAATGAATTCCAACGCCTTGGATGATGCAAGAGGAAGTGTCTTACTCTTACTAGTCCTTCGTAGTACTTTATTTAATGACCCGAATTAAGTTCCGAAAACTACCTTAACATATTTATTATTTATTTGTTTATCATTTCATGTACATGTTTCATGCACGAGGTACATGGGTATTGCATATCCTTCGAGGGATTTCTTCCTGCAGACCTGCGAAAAGGGAAGGGAATATAAACATAAGACACAGTGTAAAGGCATCATGCAATGAATACAAAAGAAAAATAACTAAAAGAAAACTTAGAACTAACATACTATAAAAATTTATAATATTTAATACAATAATTATAGATATTTAATAACAACTATATATAAATATAATTATGTATAAGTCAAGGTGCCTATATAGATAAATCAATACATAGTATAAAACAAAGTCGCTTTCGCTGTATGTCCGTATGTATGCTTAGATCTTTAAAACTACGCAACGGATTTTGATGCGGTTTTTTTTAATAGATAGAGTGATTGTTAAGGAAGGTTTGTATGTATAATAAATGCATATTGCACCCGTGCGAAGCCGGGGCGGGTCGCTAGTTATATATAAATAAAGCTGTACTTCAGGATGAAAGATAATAATCTCTGTCAAGTCGTTTAAG